GCGCCCCCGCAGGTGCTGAAGACGCAGACCAAGTTCGCAGCCACCGTGCGGCTGCTGGTGGGCGGGAAGCTGAATGTACACATGAACCCGCCGCAGGTCAAGGCCACCATCATCAGCGAGCAGCAGGCCAAGGCGCTGCTCAAGAACGAGAACACCCGCAAGTAGGTGCCGCGGCGGGACTGGAAACACCCGCTTCTCGGCTGGCTCCGCAGGTGCTGAAGACGCAGACCAAGTTCGCAGCCACCGTGCGGCTGCTGGTGGGCGGGAAGCTGAATGTACACATGAACCCGCCGCAGGTCAAGGCCACCATCATCAGCGAGCAGCAGGCCAAGGCGCTGCTCAAGAACGAGAACACCCGCAAGTAGGTGCCGCGGCGGGACTGGAAACACCCGCTTCTCGGCTGGCTCGGCCTCCTGTGGGCGGTGCTGTCCTCATCGCCCGCGCTGGGCCCTGCGGCCTCCCCAGCTGTCCCCCTCTGGTTGCAGCGAGAGCAGCGGCGAGATCCTGAACAACTGCTGCGTGATGGAGTACCACCAGGCCACGGGCACGCTCAGCGCCCACTTCCGCAACATGGTGAGGGCGGCGGGCTCAGGGTCCCCCGCGGGCAGCGGCCGCGGCTGCATCTCACCCACCCGCTTTGCAGTCTCTGAAACGGATCAAGAGGTCGGACCGGCGCGGGGCGGAGTCGGTGACAGAGGAGAAGTTCACCATCCTGTTCGAATCGCAGTTCAGCATCGGCGGGAACGAGCTGGTCTTCCAGGTCAAGGTGAGAGCCTCCCACAGCTGGGCTGGTGCGCAGGTGCCCGGGCGCGTGGCCACGTGTGTGCTCCGTGCAGGCTGTGTCTGTGTGCGCTGGGCATTGGTCACCAAACAACTGTTCTCATGGGGAATCTTTCGTTTTTCCGGTACAGGGGGTTGAACCGGGGCCTTGCACTGAACTGCAGCCCCAGCCCCTTTCCTCCTCCCTTTATTCTGAGACGAGCTCACACTAAGATGCTAAGTTGCCCAGCCTGGGCTTGAACTTGTGACGCTCCTGCCTCAGCCTCCCAGATCTCTGGGATTGCAGGGGTGCAGATATTGCCCACAGCATGTAATGTCTCATTTTTGGCTACTGATGAGGAGAAAAGCTTGTCCTTGGAGCTGTCATCTCTTGACATTCTGTTGGGACCGGAATTCCCGGCGACAAGGTGATGTCTCTGGAGGGGTGGGCGCGAAACGAAGCGCAGGAAACTGTGCCTCGTGAAGTGGGGAGCTTGTCAGATTTTCAACATTTCCTGTGGGTTATTTTCCCCAGGAGTGTCTCCTTACTCTCTGTTTTCTCTCTCATTCTCCTGTGACCTTGAGAAACTTGCTCCATCTTTCGAAGTGTCTAAGCAACAAGCCAGGCGCGGTGGCAGTTGCCTGTCTGTCACCCCAGCACTCAGGAGGCTGAGGCAGGAGGATCACCCTGAGTTTCAGATCATCTTGGGCTACACAGTGCGACCCTGTCTCCAAAGAATAAATAATAAATAGGGCCAGGGATTTAGCTCAGTGGTTCCACTGCCTGCCTTGCAAGCGCAAGGTCCTGAGTTCGATCCTCGGTACCAAAGACAAAACAAACAAAAATAAATAAATAAAAAGGAAGGATCCTAGCAACATCATGTTTAAGATTCTTAAAGTGTCAAAGCCTGTGCCTCCGACAGCCGCGAGGTTCCTGGAGCCGTTCACACTGAGTTTGCGCTTGGACCACAGCGCTGCGGGGTGAGGGTGGGAAGAACCACCGCACTCCCTGTGCCTTTCAGACCCTGTCCCTGCCCGTGGTGGTGATCGTGCATGGCAGCCAGGACCACAACGCCACGGCCACCGTGCTGTGGGACAACGCCTTCGCTGAGCCCGTGAGTGGGGTCCCCGGGCCTTGCTGGACCCTTCCGTGCGAGAGCAGAGCGCAGCTGGGGTGTGGGGAGGGCCTGGGCCTGAGGTCGCCCACGGCCACGGTGGCATCCTGTGAGGTGCCGCCTCGTGTCCCCAGGGCCTGGCCCCCGGCCACAGAGCAGGACTCAGCAGGTGTCTCAGATCTTGGGGGAGACCTGACCGGGACCGGGACTCCAGCTCCTCCTGAAGCGACTTCAGCTGAGGAGTCGCCCGGGCCATCTTGCTCTGGGTGAATGTGGTGTCACCCACCATCCTGTCCTCTGTCCCTGTCCCCAAGACGCTGGGTGCCATGGACTCATGTACCCTGGTCTGTCGCTGCCACTGGGGCCCTGGATGGCGGGACTCCGACCGCCTGACCCCGGCCTCCCCTCCTGTTCTGCACCGCTGCCAGGCCTCCTGGTGTAGACCCAAGTGGGGAGGGACAGGAGCACATGTGGATCTTACACTGTGCTTTATGTTGAAAAACCGGGTAACTGCGGGTCGCAGCATCCTTGATCTGTCTACTTGCAAACCACAGTTGCAGTCTTTGAGGAGAGGCCCAGAAGCCAGGGCTGGGGAGACACTTAACTGTGTATTCCTGTGATTTCTGAACTTTATATCACATGAAGGAAGGGTCTGTTCAAAAACCACTTTATGCCACGTGTGGTGGCCTATAATCCCAGCCCTGGGGAGGCTGAGGCAGGAGGGTCACTGAGATTCAGGCCAGCCTGGGCTACATAGCCAGACCCTGCCTCAAAAAACCAAAAACAGTAGTCTAACCACAGAACAGAATGAAAGCACCTTATTAAAAATTCATATTATAGAGATTTAGCTTAGTGGTCCCCCACCTGCCTCACAAGTGCAAGGTCCTGAGTTCGATCTCCCATACCGGAAAAAGAAAGTTCCTATTATTTAAAGCTGCCAACTTGAAATTTCCAGTCCCCCATGCCAAGCTCTGTCCCTTGGCAGGTGTCCAGCAGCAGTGCACATACAGTGTGCAACGTGTACACATACGCACGCACACACACGCACGCACATCTGAGCGTGTCTCCTGCTGCACCTAGACAGCCCTCCTCCTCCTGGTCCTGGGTCCCGTGAGCTCACACCCTGGAGCCAGGTCGGCTTGGGTTTGGTTTCCATGGTGCCAGAACCTGGGGTTGGGCCATAGGCCAGCAGTTGCCTAGGAAACAGCAGATGGGGGTCATGGCGACAGGATGGCGAGACAGATCCTCCTGCAGGCCCAAGTGGACCCTGAGCCGTGCAGAGCCCCTCGCCTCGGCAGGCACGCGCCTGCCAGCTGCCTGCTGCCCTCGCCTTTCTTCGGCAGTGTGGGGATCCATCTGCGGCTGTTCCCTCACGGGTCCTGGCCTCTCGCCCCACAGGGCCGGGTGCCCTTCGCTGTGCCTGACAAAGTCCTGTGGCCCCAGCTGTGTGAGGCGCTGAATGTGAAGTTCAAGGCCGAGGTGCAGAGCGCCCGGGGCCTGACCAAGGAGAACCTGGTGTTCCTGGCGCAGAAGCTGTTCAACAGCGGCGGCGGCCACCTGGAGGACTACAGCGGCATGTCCGTGTCCTGGTCACAGTTCAACAGGGTGAGCGCCGCCGCCGCCCTGGGTCGGCTCCTTCTGACCAGAGTCCCCCGGGTTCCCGTGTCCTGCCCCAGACCTTCCTAAACTTACCAAGTAAGAGGAGCTTCTGAGCAGACGGGCAACTCCAGAGTCTCTCTCTTGCGAAAGTCCTGTCTTCATATCTTGCCTGAATTGGGCTTTGTACGCAGTTAATGCATTTTCTTTCTTTATAAAAGAAATAGAGTTGGACGTGGTGGTGCACACCCGTAATCCCAGCACTTGGGAGGCAGAGGCAGGAGGATCCCGAGAATTTGCAGGCAACCAGGGGGTACAGTGAGTTCGAGGCCAGCGTGGACTCCACAGCCAGATGGCCGACCCAGCCCGGCCGTTCCTCTCGTGACACTGCAGGCTGTGATGCTGCAGATCTGAGGTGGCCCCAAAAACTGTGCACCCTGGAGCTTGGGGAGATGCTGAGCCACTGGTCGAAGGTGGCAAAAGCGGGGTCTCGCCTTCCCGGGCCCAGGAGGATGCGTGTGCAGGGTCTAGGCGCTGCCCATTGCCCCTGCCCAGCTCCCCTGTCCCCTGCGTCCTGCCTTCAGTGACCTGAGAACCCGGGCCGCTGTCGGTGCCGTGTCCGCCCTCGTCCGTCCTCTAACTGCTGCCTGGCTTCCTCTCCTCTTCCTGTCTCGGCCCAGGAGAACCTGCCAGGGCGGAACTACACCTTCTGGCAGTGGTTCGACGGGGTGATGGAGGTGCTGAAGAAACACCTCAAGCCACACTGGAACGACGGGTGAGCCGGTCCTTCCCCAAGGCTGCCTGGGTGGGCCGCGAGGTGCAGCTGGCACTAACACGGCGTCCTCTGCTTCCCCTGCCCCTGCGGTCCAGTGCCATCCTGGGCTTCGTGAACAAGCAGCAGGCACACGACCTGCTCATCAACAAGCCCGACGGCACCTTCCTGCTGCGCTTCAGCGACTCGGAGATCGGTGGCATCACCATCGCCTGGAAGTTCGACTCCCGTGAGTGGCCTCGCTTCCTTTTGTGTTTGAGGCAGGGCCTCACTGTGTAGCCCAGGCTGGCCTCCAACTTGAGACAATCCTGCCTCAGCCTCCCGAGCGCTAGGATGACAAGAGTGCACTTCGCTCCTGGCCAACCACGCCAGGCCCCTCTCTTTTATTTTTTTATTTTGTTTGGTACCAGGGATCGAACTCGGGTCGTTGTGCTTGCAAGGCAGGCACCGGAATCACTGAGCTAAATCCCTGGCCTCCACTCTCTTTTAAAAAGACAGCCGTCTGCAGGGCTGCTTTTGTTGCAGTTGCTGGGCTTTTGAGCAGTTGGAGAACTCACTGTTTGCTGGGACCAGAGCGGATGACAGGAAACCCCGCAGTCCCGCCAGACAGCTGCTGGTAGCACAGCGCCTGTACAGGACGCGGGACGCGTAAGAGAAGCACAGGAGAGCCCGCCGCACGGCTGCTCCCCTCCGCACCGTTCGCTTCTTGTTCACCCAGACGCAGCTCTGGCTGGGTCTCCATCAGGGCCCTCTGTGACTGACCCAGGGGACACCCAGGGAGCGTTTCCGCCCGCGCCCTGAACTGCGTCTTCCAGAGAGGCGCAGGCGCTGCTTGGGCTCGAACTAACTTGCAGCTGTGGCCATGACGTGAGCCTTCCTGCTTCTCTGCCAGGGCTCTCAGAAACAGCTTTCTCTCAGCCGGTGCTCACATTAAAATGGAGATTTGCACTGGGCGTAGTGGTGCACGCCTGTCATCCCAGCACATGGGAGGCTGAGGCAGGAGGATCACTGTGAGTTCAAGGCCAGCCTGACTACCATAGAGAGAACTTGTCTCAAAAAAAAGGAAAAGACGCACCCATGTTTATAGCAGCACAGTTTGTAATCACTAAAACTTGGAAACAGCCCATCTGCCCATCAGTTGGAAACTGGACAAAGAAGATGTGTTTTTTCTATAACATGGAATATTACTCAGCCATAAAGAATGAGAAAGTAGATTCATTCATAGGTAAATGGGTACATTTTGAGGATATACTCCTAAGTGGAATAAATAAGTCACGCATATGCAAATACCGAATAGTTTCTCTGGTGTGAAAAACTAAAATAGTACTCAAGATCCTAACAGGACAATTAGCAACGTGAAATAGGAAGAAAAGGACCAAAGGTGTAAGGACAGTGAGAAGGATAGGATAAGGGGAATAAGGGAAAAGGAAACAAATATGAGCAACTGTAAAAATGGAAATAAAGTGTTTGAAGGTGGGGAGGGGAGGAGGGGGTGAAG